GCCCCAAATGTCCTAACTGGGCCCCTGCCTGTCTTTGCCCAGGGCCCCAAATGTCCTAACTGGGCCCCTGCTTCAGCAGCCATGTTAATAGCAGCTGCAGCAGAGCTCTAGCATCACTGTGGGTCACGGGAGGCAGAGAAAGGCTCCTTTATAGCTTCTACCGGTGTTTCCAATCAATTCAATCGTGATTACGAGTGACCGTGACGTCACCCGCTCTAGGGCGGGGCTTGGTCTCTTGGGCAATAGAATTCGGCGCTAGCTTGATTGACAGCGCTGAAGGCCAATCAGCGTTATTTCTAATGCGCAGCTCAGCTGCTGGAGCCAGGCTCTGGATGTTTTCTGATTAGGAGGAATCTGTGGGATCCTGGAGATGTGAGAGGAGGATCTGCTCCGGTCTGGGTTTAACGGTTAAAGCAGGGGCCCAGCATTCATCCAGCTCAGAGACCGGGGAGCCGCTGCTGCTGCTGCTCAGGACGATGGAGAGCTAGCTGCCATCGGAGGGCTAACAGTCTGAGCTTTATCTGGACCCGCTGCTCTGGTTCCGAGCTGATAATCCACCAGGAGCCGCTCAGACACTCCCTCCGCCGGGTCGCATCCCTCCAGGTGAGCTTAATGATTAGCAGTTAGCCGCGGCTAACAGCTGCTCAGCTAACGGCTGCTTTAATGGCGTCAGCCGGGATGATCAGGTCCTGTTAGCTTCAACAGCATCGAGGAGGGGGATCAAAGGAGCCAGTTGAGCTCTCATCAGGGTACCGTCACACCCTGCTGGCCGCCATGGGCCCCATGATGCTCCCATCCATGGAGAAAACCTCCTCCATGCTGAAACAGGAGGAACATCCTGCTTCTCCTCTGATCAGAGGAGGCCAGCAGGCTGATGTGGAGGAGCTGCTCCATCACTGAGGGCTTTGCCCTGGACTGTCCTCCTCTGAGCAGAGCAGCTCCTCAGATGGAAGCGGGCCTCCATCCACCAGGGCTAGAAAGCTCCTCTTCTTCATGGAGCTGTAGGTTGGTGCTGTGCCTTGAGCTGCTGCCTGACTGCAGTGAACACACCCACCCAGTGAGGCCATGCTGGGGCTGCTGCTGATGCTGGAGCTGCCTGGGATACGGGGGATGCTGGGGCTGATGAGGATGCAGGGGCTCCATCACATGTGAGGAGCTGACACTGGAGTTGGAAATAAACTAGGAATTGACAGTGAATAGTGGGGAACTCAGGGGAGGATTTAGGAAATTTGGGGCCCTAGGCAAAGACAGGCAGGGGGGCCCTCTGAACACATTAAACAGACCCATTATCCAGATGGAGAAATGTTAATAGAATAGACATCCATTATCTGTTCTAGGTTTTTTGTCCCTCTCTTCTTGTCCCTTTTCTTCTCGTTTTCCTCTCTATGTTTTGTACTCAGCTGATTTTTATGGGGCCCCCAGGAACTTGGGGCCCTGGGCAAGAAGGCAGTATTGCCTAATGGTGAATCCCCCCCTGGGTGTAGGAATACTGCAGTGCCAGACAGGAACAAGTTCAGGTAAACATTGCTAGAAATGCTTTTGGATCCTTGTTTTCTCTCCATCATCTTCAGTGTTTAGTGCGTTCACCACATGGCTGCTTTAGTGGCTCTGTTTGAACCATTTGGAGGTGAAGCCTCAGATGTTTGGGGGAAAAATGTTTTTCATTAATTTCATAATCTTCTATTTCTTCCCATCAGAGGAAGCTGCCCTTTTAAACTATGATAAAATGTTTAGGTTGTTTGTAGTTTTAATGCAGTAGTAAATATCTTCTTTTTCAAGTATCAACAAGATGGTTCCCTAATAATAAGACCTTATTGTATTTTTATTTGATTTCCCATTAGCTGTAAAACAATAAAAAAATTAAAAATACCTTTACTTTTTCTGGAGTTGATCTAACCTGCTGCTGACGGGACATTTCAGCACCAGTGCTAAACAATTCGAAAGGAGCCTTTAATAAGGCAGACAGAGAATTAATGAGGAGTTTACAGAAGCAACTTAAGGTAAAGATCAGAGAAAGCTTGGAGGCATAGAGGAAGAGGCTGGAAATCAAGCTCCAGCAGAACAATATCAGAGATGAAGAAGATCCCAGGCTTCTAGCAGAAGGATGATCAGACAGATGTTAGTCTGGACAGAGACAATCAACTGAATCCATTCTTCAACAGGTTCAGTTCAGGAAGAAGCTCAGCATCTTTCTCTCCTGCCCACAGTCACATGGACATCCTGTCCTCCTCTGATATTCTCTCTCCTGCTTCTATTATCAGTCAGATCAGCAGGTGGTGCTGCTCCCTCCACCTTCCACCTGTCTGTCTCTAGAAGTCAGAAGTCAGTCCTGGAGGCCTGAGCAGAGCAGCTCTGTGGGATTCTACAGCTCCTCTTCCCCCTTAGTCGGACCCTGGAGACATTTCCAGGGATGTGGAAGACCTCCTGCCTTGTTCCAGGACCAAACAAGACTCGGCCAGCAGTCCTCACTGACTATAGACCCGTTGCCGAGACATCATCAAATGGCTGAATGAGCTCCTCGGCACACAGTCAGGTCATCCAATTCTATTCAATTTATTTCTATAGCGCCAATTCACACCACGTCATCTCAAGGCACTTTCCAGTTCACCAGATCATCCAA